GCACCTTCCCCATTAAGGGTCCGGACATTCCAGGTGCATGCCCTCAAATCGCAGTCCTTTAAACATTTGCCGTGGTCGTCATCATAAGGGGGGGTCTCATCCGAGGCTTTGCCTTGCTTCTTCACTGGAAGTGGTTTTTACGTGGCGGGTCCCAAGCCCAGCGCACAACCCATTGCTGGGACAGATATTAAACAAACAGCCGCAATCAAATCCGTTTAAAGATTACTAGTTTTTTCTTGGGGTTATGTCACTTTTTATAAGGTGTCATAACTCCAATTGGGACAATGTAACTTTTGAGCCTAAAGCATATTTTCCAGCTCTCAAGAAAAACAAAAAAATCTTATGAAATTAAAAATAATTTTCTACTAAACTTTTCCGGCAACAGAAAATGTTGACTTTGGATTCGCATACGTCCCTCGCTTTGTATACATGTCTCTCACTCCATTTATACGCAAATATGCCGATTTTTACCCTTCGAGCTGTTCACCAGATGCGTATCTAAAAGCTAAGTGAGCCAACCTCTTGATCTATGAGACGAATTCTTGCCCTAAATGCCAGATGTTGTTCTGCACTGCACTGTTCTAAACTTTAAGTGCAGTCATTGAACAGACCTAATAAAGTTGTCAGAGAATACAGGTGCTCAATTTCCGTTCTGCGTAATCGTGAAGTGAAATGTCAAAAAGTCTCACCAAAATACATGCGGTGTGAAAGTGCTATTTTTTTCACTTCGCAATAACTCCTCAGAACAGAGATTACCCGATCGAACAACGATAGCTATCACTCCGTGTTGTCACACATGTGGGATCGTGTAAACCCCGCTAATGAGAGCGACTTTTGGAGAGTTGTATAGAGAATGAAGTTGAAAAATGATACCCAAATTTTTTCTTCTGGTAAAATCATGAAAAGTGTCAAGCGTTTACGATTCCTATTCGGAATCAAAGCAAACATCAAAAAATTTTTGCTAAACCCATAGTTAGGTATGTGATAAATGGTATGCGATATCTCTTACTATATATCGTATACCTTCTGCAATGAACGGTCTACACAACCGATATACATATCTCTTAAGATTGCTATACAGCATGGTGTAATAATAACAAGGTGTTGTCAGTAACTTANTATTCTTATGGACGTTCACACACATCTGTCAAAACTTGTCGTTCACATGCGAATGCTTTGCGTACGCACACAGTTGAGTGTGAGCCTGAAAAAAATGCATATTATGCTATTTTAATTAATTTTAATTCTATAATTCTGGAAAATATTTTAATTCTTTATCTTTTGATGTATCAACTATTGCAAAAAGTTAAGTAATAACGAAGATATTGGTCAAAATAAAAAGCTCACGCTCACGCTCGCATTGAACTGTATACAATGTTTCGTATGCGAGCGCCCATACCAGCTACAGACGTGCATTATAATGTATGTATAAATGTAATACGTGGTTATAATGTACGGGGCAAATCGTAGTAAATCGTGGCGAATTCGAATACAATTGATAATTAAGGACCTGTGCCAATTAATAGAAAAGAGGAAACTTTGACGGATCAAAGTAAAAATTTGACATTTCTCGTGTTAAAAACGAACGTCAGAATTTTACCTAGCTCATGGGGCTACGTAAAATTTTGACAGCTGTGTCGCGAAAAGCAAAAAGTATCGACGTGTTAACAACTTTTTTAAGTATATATATTTTTTAAATTACATAAAAAATTACATTGAAAAATTTTAAAAATTATCCAATAAACATTGTGGCGAATGTTCGAAAATTATCTTCGAAATCCAATATGAATATTGTGACAATGAATATAACTTTCATAATTCAAAAAACCAAAAACTCGAGAAAAAGGTCGCAAAGTTTTGAACTTACATTTACTTCTATACTAAAAATTAGTACATATTTTGTTTTTGTGAGCTACTGGTAATCCGTGCATCTATGAAATTTTCACACAATATAAAAAAACAGGTAGCGGTCATTTCAACAATGGCCTCTGTTAAAAATTTTTAAATATTTGGAAAACGAATCTCTTGCCTCACCTTCGATAATAAATGGCGGGCAGTGGGTGGTCATCGCCTCGATAAATTGTGTCATTATCCAGCATAACGGAGCCTTCGATATCCAATGTATTGTTGTATTTGTTGTAAATTCCAAATCCAGCCCGTTCTCGAAGCAAATATTTACGAGAGAGAGCTTATCTTTCCTTTAGAGAATGCGCTTCACAACATTTGTTTCTCGTTTTATATATTTGCGTTTCATTTTCAAAGTAAAGTGATTCATAAATATACTCGTCAAACACTTATAAAATATTTGTTTTTAAAAACTTGAAAGCTGCCTTTACGCAGGTCAATATTTGTCATTCAACAAAAATCTACCCGTGTAGAGTGCAATTTAACCGTAAAATGTAAATGCTTTGGCTAACCTATTCCTCAGTCGACAGAAATGGACCTGTGTAAAAGCGGCTTAAATAGGCTTTATTTATTAATTTATTTTATGCTTGTGGAAGCAGTGTCAATTCAATTTACAAATATATAACCGCTTCCATAAAAGTAAAACAATCTGATTTATGTTTATCTTTCGCGTTTGCTTTAAAAATACTTGGAAGTACGATTATTATGAATACGTTTTTGCAAGTATGAGTACTGGCATCGATTCTTCTGTAGAGTATTATGTATGAGTACTATTATCGATACTTTTCTAAAAAGTTATATCACTACAGGTGCGGGATCATGCATGCATAGTTACGCAAGCAAGATTTTCAAGCAAGTGAAGACGGACAGTAAGGAAAAGTTAATTTTGTGTAATAATGAACATGTGGCAACCTTCTAAAGCATTCGTTCACAGTCCAGCCAACCTTGACGAGTTTACTTTCAACAATCCGACAGCTATTCGCCGCAGAACGAGGCAAGCAGCGGAATCGGATTTTTCGCAATTTCAGCAGCCCAAGAACCCGATCGAGTGTTGCGCGTGTGGACAGTTTCAGTTTTTCTGTTTAAAAAGATTTTTAATACTTCACATTGAGGTATATAAAACAAACGGAAAATGTAAGTTTTGTGTGTAACATTAAAGGAATTGGGACATATCTTCGTAATTTGTTTGAAGTGAATCATTTGAGCGCGCTGTTGGCGGCGTTGACATGTGGGATAACTTGCTTGCAAGCGTGGTTTCGCTTGTTTTTCTTCTCGGACAATTCTATTTTTGCATGGCAAAAATTGATGTTTAAACGTCTGGTGGAATTCGCAAAAATGGCAAAAGTGTGCAATCTTGCTAAAGGACAGTTTCGTATTTATATACATATGTATCTTTTGGCAATAGAGGCAGAGGCAAATGTTTTTTTTTGCGTTTGAGGTTAGATTTGATTTTCGCTCATCAATGACGTTTGATACGCCAATAATCGCTTTGCAGTTGTCTACCGGCATTTTTGCATTTTATGAACTAATTTAACTGACGCATGTCTGCTGTAAAACAAAATCTGATGAAATACATCTGTTCCCTTCACAGCTGCACCGTTTGAAGGCGTTGAGTTTTGGCGCGAAAGCCTCTACCCTCGTTTCCGAAATATTTGGTACATATACATAAATGAATATGCATCAGAAATTTTTCTAGAATGCAACACTTCGGTTAAGATAGTGTTAATTTTATATTCGTGTAGTTTTGTTTAATTGTATTCCAGGCAATTGTTTGGTCTTACTAACGTATTTAATTTTGCAGAAACACCAGTGAAAAAGAGAAGAAAATACTTAACAAATGGCACAAGAAGCAGATATTCCAACATTCAAATGCGTTCTGGTCGGAGATGGTGGTACTGGCAAGACCACTTTTGTAAAACGTCACATGACCGGCGAATTTGAAAAGAAGTATGTTGCTACACTCGGTGTCGAGGTGCATCCACTTATCTTCCACACTAACCGTGGCGCCATCCGTTTCAATGTCTGGGATACCGCTGGTCAGGAGAAATTTGGCGGCTTGCGTGATGGTTACTACATTCAGGGACAGTGTGCTATAATTATGTTTGATGTTACTTCTCGCGTCACATATAAAAATGTACCAAACTGGCACAGAGATTTAGTACGCGTCTGCGAAAATATCCCGATCGTTTTATGCGGTAATAAGGTCGATATAAAAGATCGCAAAGTCAAGGCTAAGAGTATCGTTTTCCACAGGAAAAAGAACTTACAGGTAAGTTTGTCTTGTAATGTACTAGCATCCTAAAAATTTGGCGATTGCCCTTCAAATAATGGAACATTTCTTTTTGCTTTTTACAGTACTACGATATTTCCGCCAAGTCAAATTATAATTTTGAAAAACCTTTCCTTTGGTTGGCACGAAAGTTAGTTGGCGACCCAAATTTAGAATTTGTCGCTATGCCAGCGTTACTTCCGCCAGAAGTCAAAATGGACAAGGATTGGCAGCTGCAAATCGAGAGAGATTTGCAGGAAGCTCAAGAAACTGCATTGCCAGAAGAGGATGAAGATTTGTAATCTTAGACATACGCTAATTTTTATCTAAATACAGAGTTTACAACAAATTATAATTGAGAAAACTTAAAATTCTAAAATTACTGCAAAAACTGGCGAGGAACTAATAAAAATATTTAAACCTAAACGGCAGACATTTTTAGATTTCATTGGAAATGTACGTTTTCCATGCTGTACTTTGTTCATGTAATGTGTATTTAAGTTGCGCTTATTTTTTTATTTTTAGTGTACAATTTAAATAATTTTGTATTAAAATTAATCTGAATAATACTTGATGTCTTCGATTTAATTAATCATAATTGGCAAATGGCGTGTAGTTGAAGCAGTAAAATGCTTGTTTTCGAGTGCAAAGATTTCTTCATAAATACATATGGAATAATGAGGCATAAAATACAAAATGCTGGAAATGTGCTGAATTGAAAGTTATTGCCGCATGAAAAGGTAGGTAAGATATGGACGTGTAGTAGAATCAGGTGGTCGTTGGATAATCTCTCTGCTGGGAATCTGNTGAGGCATAAAATACAAAATGCTGGAAATGTGCTGAATTGAAAGTTATTGTTGCTTGAAAAGGTAGGTAAGATATGGACGCGTAGTAGAATCAGGTGGTCGTTGGATAATCTTTCTGCTGGGAATCGGCTAAATCGGATGAAACTAAACATAGGAAATACGAATGGTGGAATTTATTGGTAGCGAGATATCGGGTGATATTAGTAAAATCAGTTCAAACGTGTACGCAAATATTACAATACGTAGAGAGGATTTAGTCATATTCGAGGCACGTAATCAAAGCCGCGATACTGCAGCACTGATGGAAAATTGGAAACACTTGCAACTGCCCAACTGGTAAAAGTTGCTAGAAATTCATGCTGAATGTGATACTTTAGCTATTCGTGTATCACGGCGGATGTGATTGCAACTCGAACAAGCCATTGCCTTATAGAGAAACTACCGTTATAAGATAGGGTGCTTTTCAAAACGTCAAAATACAAAGCATCAGTCTCTTTTATTTCTAAACCGCAATCTAAGAAGAAGTCTTAATTGCGCAACCTAGCTGAAAACTGACATCTAACCGTGGTTTTCCACATTTGGCATTACAATCTACCGAAGTTTAGACGTTTTGAAATGCACCCATATTCCTAATTCTTAGCAACAGTAAACCGGCACTTATTTGTGTTACATCATCCCTAGTCTTAAGTGCATTGAGACAACTTGGAAGAGTTGCAGGCTTCTAATTAACTTCCTTAATGAAAAACACGAGGAAATATCACAGCCAATACAGGAATATATAGGCCAGCGTAATATTCACCTACACCGGCACGGGGGCACTCCGGACTATGAGGTCATCCGCTTGAACAAGGAATCTGATCAGAGATAATTTGATTGCTTTTGTCGCTCTGCTAATGTTTTAAAGGTGCGAAAGGCTCACGCTTTCCAATGACAATAAAATACAAGCAATACAAACAATTTAAAATATGTATGTAGAACATTGAACCACAGTAGGTACCATTCATGAAGAAACGTTTACAGGCCAGATAAGACGAGTTTCTAAGTTAAATGTAATTTATCTTTTGGACTCACCTGAACAGTTGGTGGGGAAATTACGGTTTTACCCCGTTGAAATTAGTAAACCGCGCAGAAGTTGACCAGTATTTTGTATAGGTATTCATACAAATGTGGATATTCATGTATTTTACCAGGATGCTATCGTTCACTGTTTTTCACTAATCACCGCATTACTTAACACAATTTTATATAAACAAAACGTAAACATATTCACATCTTTTTTATGTAAAAACAGGAACAGAAAAATTATTTGCAAGCGGATATAAAGAACACGCCACTTCACCGTCAAAATACCGCGCATTTTTTAATTGAAATAGCCCGGCGAATTCAGAGAATTGGTGAATTCGCCATTGGAATCCATATGTAGCAGGGTTAGAACTCGAAAACGTAAATCGGAATTAACGACGAGCAAAAAAAAAAAATATGGCCAAAATTAATTTTTTAAAACATACAGTGGGTACAGTGGTAGCGTGATACAAATATTAAAAAAAAAAAATGTATCATGCAGTGGTTGTAGGTAAGGTACAAGTTTTAGTCATTTTTATACCCGAGCACACTTGTGCATAAGAGTATTATCGCCTTGAGTATTATAACTTTGTTCACATACCAGGGCCCTTACTCTGTAGTTCGAATCGATAGTAAATTTGTTCGAATTCGAACGGTTGGTACTATAAAAGTGTTAGGCGTTCGAATAGACATTCTTTTCGATTCGAACTACAGAGTAAGGGCCCAGTTGTTTTTGTTTATAATTTAAATTTTATTTTTTTTTAGTATATCTCAATATCTATCGAAAACCCTGCATATAAGTTCATATTTCAAAAATTTTTGGTATGCAGTTTTATAGCCCATTAAATTTTAGCGCAATCAAGTGCAGGTGTTAAGTTGCTGAAAAATCTTATTGACTTTTAAAATTTTTTTATTGACGGTGTTATTAATTTTTTCCCCAGATAATACAAATTTTCGTACATATTTTATATGGAAGAAAATGCGTAACATCGCCAGCGAAATAATTATAAAAAATCGGCTCCACACTAACACTCTGTTGGACTAAAATTTAATGGGTTAAAAAATCCTTACCAAATTTTTTTCTAAAAATTCCGACTATTAAGAATGACACCCCTATTGCGAGTGTCGACTAGTAGTAAATGAACGATTGTTAATCGGTTATCGATTATCCGTGGTATTTTCAAAGTCGTTTTCTCGTTCAATAAGTGCGTGTTAATAGTTTATAGTCGCTCATCCTTCTATAAACAAACAAACATTTGTAGCAAAAATGGGCGATAAAAACTATTCACAGTCGCTTATTGAACGAGAAATCAGCATTCACAATACCATGGAAAAGCGATAATCGAATAAGAGTCATATATCTACTACTAGTCGACAATCGCAATAGGGGTGTGAAACTTTGATGAAACTTTGTATATACATTTATGATTTGCTATTTTTTTCCTTTATTAACAACATACATAAATATATAAAACATATACATCAATTATTTATAGTAAACGACTAAACTTTTTTGTGTAAGAACAATAATTTACCACACAGTTGGTAGGGAAATTACGGTTTTGCCCCGTTGAAATTAGTAAACCGCTCAGAAGTTGAAGTTGCATGAAAAATCACCGCGTGCGAAATCCCTATTACACTTTAGTCACATAACGGTAACAATGGTTACCCATTCGTTTTGCTTCCTTTTCGCCGTATTAAAACGACTAGTTTAAAAGGTGCAGTGAACAAGTGGTGAGACCGCGTTATTTATTAATACGGTTTGCAATACCTAACATGTGCAAAAAAGCGTGCAATAAAGATCGTTTTTTGTTTGATTATGTTAATAGTGTTTTACACATATTTTAATCGTGAAAATCTGCTTTGAAGTATGCTGCATTTAAACAAATGCTGCGTACGAATTACCTTTGCAAAGTATCAATTCGGTTTGGTCATTTATGTGTGTATGTATGTATAGTGCAGTTCCGGCGTTCATTGTTGGCCATTCCTTTTCGCCGCATTAAAACGACTAGTTTGAATGGTGAAGTGTGCAAGTGATGATGTTGCGTTATTTATTTTTAGGGTTGCAATGTTTAACCCGATTTACAAATATCTTTTTTGGTTGATTGTATTAATATTGCTTTATATTGTAATCGTGAAAAATTTGCTTTAAAGTTTGCTGCATTAAAAAGTTACGCGTTCGAATCAGCCTTGCAGAGTATTAATTCGCTTTGGACATTTATGTATGCGTGTATCAGTGATGGGAAAAGTAGGCAACAATAGTGCCATTTTTGGCACTTTCATTCTCAGAGCCACTTTTGTCACAGTTCATCCTGTTTTGGCACAATCATATAGAATAGAAATTTAGCATAAAATGCCAAATGAAAATTAAAAGCACTCAAAATTTAAAATAAGGGCCGCGAGAAATATTGCATTTTGAAAGTTTGCAGTTTTATAGTTCATTAAATAAAAGTGCAAGTCTCTGAAATATCCCGATGATTTTAAAAAATTTTTTTTTTTGGACGGTGACATACATTTTCATCCATTTAAAAAGTATTTGAATACACTGTATGAAAAAAGTGCATAAATACGAAAACTTGGCATCTCTCTAAAAATTCTAAATTCAAATTTTGTTGTTGCGAAAACATGCTGAATTTTTATAAATTTTGTACAAATTTGAAATGCTGATTTGTGTACATATAGTATGTTTATTAAATTATGAATTAGACTTTTATATAAAATCAATCGAAAAATAATCAATGAAAAGAATAGGGAAAACTGGTCAAAATGTCTCACTGCCATTATTTCGCATATAGGTACACATATGTACATACATACATATGTATGTGTGTAAAAATTTCAGAATAGCTATATTTCGGTGTATTTCCCCTCCGTAATTGGAATTCTGTTTAATTTTACTATGAATTTACGTATATGTCTAAGGAATCCTTCATAAAAGTGATTTACTGTAATAATTTAGTTAGTTAATAATTATTATATTACTTCAGTGTATTTTAAAAATATTATTCCTAAAAATATATTGTTCTTAAAATGCCTGAAAAGAAATTTAATTTTGTGGCACTTTCATCTTTTCGGCACTATTTTCGAAGACCATTAGGTACATTTTGAAATTTTGAAATTCCATCCCTGGTATGTATATACATAAGTACATTACATATGGACTAGTTCCGGCATTCGTTGATGGCCATTCGTTTTGCTTCCCTTTCGTCGTATTAAAACGACTAGTTTGTAAGGTGCAGTGAACAAATGGTGACACCGCGTTATTTATTAATATGGTTTGCAATACCTAACAAGTGCAAAAAAGCGAGTAATAAAGACCTTTTTTGTTTGATTATGTTAATAGTGCTTTATACATATTTTAATCGTGAAAATATGCTTTAAAGTAAGCTGCATTTAGACAAATGACGCGTACGAGTTAGCTTTGCAAAGAATTAATTCGCTTTGGTCATTTATGTGTATATGTATGTATGGTGCAGTTCCGGCCATCCGGCATTCGTTGTTGTCCATTCCTTTTCGCCGCATCAAAACGACTAGTTTGAAAGTTGAAGTGTGCAAGTGATGATGCCGCGTTATTTATTTATAGGGTTGCACTGTTTAACCCGTACAAAAACGCGATTAAAGAATATCTTTTT